ATACTGTAAATAAGTTGGCTCATTTCAGTAGTATCACATTCTTCTCATTATAACTTTCTGCTTCCGTTAGAGGATCCATTTAAACTTCACTAAATAAAGTATGTTATAGATTTTAGACTGTTTGAAGCTGATGAGAAGCAATAAAATAGAATAAATCAATTTCATTCCGTGAACTATATTATTTTTGCATTATTAAAGTGAAGAATTTTCTAACTTATTAGATGTATTTTTGACTAATAGTTGAATCCATCCTACTGTAAATTAACTGTTTTTGAAAAGACTTGAAGCTCATGTGTCTAAGACACTATATATATATATATATATATATATATATATATATATATATATATATATATATATATATATATATATATATATATATATATATATATATATATATATATATATAAGGACTAGTAAAGGGATGCAAAACATTCCATCTATGTTAAATGGAACTATCGAGTTGAACATTATGTATGGTAGGTTAAACAAAGAACACTTTTCTTAGAACACTTGAACATTATTAGTCGCAGATGATAACCATCTCCTGTTCAATAAAGAAATATAATCACATTCAAAACATCATACTAAGATACAGGTACGTTAAATTAAGACAGGTCTTGGGTGCGATCCGTGGTGACATGGTCATGGATACACACTGCTGAGGAGTTCTATACTGGAACAAAACAGCTGTTCAGTGCTCTCAGGTTTACAATGGATATTTAACCAAGATCATTCTAGAATATTAACTAGGAAGTAAAAAAAATCAGTTCATTAATTTTTCAACAAAATAACAATAATGAGACACTCATATAAAAGACTATGACAAAAGAGACTGATCTGTACAGCCTTATAAATTAACCATGAAGTTAATTCAGTTGAAATTATTGCATCTATATTATCCCTATTGTTTTCAAATATTAAGTCAACAAAATTGACAATAGAAACACTTCAGAAGATGTACATTATAACACAGAAGATGAATTGAATATTTTACGTGATGGTAGGTTAATTCGAATTTTTTATAAATTTTATAACTAATTTATAATCGTTTTAAATATAATTCATAACAGTTGGTTTTAACAGTTAGAAAAATATATCAATTAGCGTTAAATTCCAACTAGTTTATTTTCTGATTTATTATATAGGATCCAAATCAATTCCAAACAGTTCAGAGATAGTTTTCACCAAAACAGTTGATAACACCGGATGAACCATTGAATACTAGTAACTGGGCAGCTGTTTAAATCATAATTTAAGGCTTCCTAAAGATCTACAATGAGGATCCCAAGTGACGTAGCTCAGAAACATTAGGTTTAGCAATGAGCCAAAATACTTTTCGACTGCAGAGCTGGAACTCGATGGTTCATATTTCAATATTAAGTTGTCAGGATTGGGTGCATTAGGTTTTGATGCTTTATTTCTCAAGGTGGTCGGTAGAAAACACTGGACATACATTTCGTAATAGTTGGCACTCTTCACTAGTGGTAAGACTGAAAATTGATTGGTAAATCCCCCCATCTCTTAGGAATAGGCAAACTTGACGCTGATCACCATTCAGTAACCAATAAACACACCTCAGTCCTGTGGGTGATCAGTCAGGGATGTTACAACACTTCAGATTACGATGTAGTTCCGAATTCACCAGCTCCCTGAAGGCTAGACATACTAACCCGACGAATGCCAACTACCACAAAACCTAGGTTTAAGATTTCCAGTTGATTTCCTCCAACTGCCTACCATTATTGTTTAGTCAGTTTATGACTCTCAATAAGCGTGGGCACGCAATAATGTCAAGCCATATGCAGCAAACTGCTTTTCACTACAACTCGGTTTTTAATGGTTGTTCGGTTGGTTTGAGTTTATGATACAACACTAACTTCTGATTTTATAAATCCCTTCTCACAATATCTTGTTTAGTAATCTAAAAGTTATCCCAGCTGCAAAAAATACCGGTTAACACCAACTTTGGGACCGACAAAGGCTTTGTGCCGTAAAGGACACTAACAAGGACGCAAACGTATTTCCGAGCTGATTCAAATCTGGAACTTGGGGTTGTTACATACTTCCTACCACCCCATCACACTTGTTTCTTCGGAAAAAAGAATCCTACGCAGCTAAGCTCGGAATCGTTTTCTCCAGCCGACCTACCATTCTAGGATGTGTTAAGGACAAACCTCCGCTTCGGGCCACATCAATGTGTATACATAAATTTACTTGCTCATGCGGGACACATTACATAGGCCGCACAAAGCGATCACCGTCCAAATGCATTAATAACGCTTAGCTTTCCACCCATTTTTAGTCTCTGTGCGATTTATCTCGTTGTGATGACCTCAGTTGTGGCAAATTTAGCCTAAACACGTGTATTAAGTTATACCAAATAACAATTTAAAATTTTCTCAACAGAACACGAGCGACCAACCACATGTTTCAGTCCCATGAGCATTTTACCGACGTAACTTATAAATATAATAACATTTTCAAACCAACTATCGTAAGCCTTGTGTAAGCATGGTCAACTCCGATTAAAACGAAGATAGTAGGTGAACTAGTTTCCCCCAAATCAATCAATCTGAACTGCGAAAGTCATTGCTAGGTAAGCTAAAATATCTATCCAGTTACTGAACTATAAATAATTAGGCGGTCAACTATTTAGGTCAAATTCGTTTATATTTATTAAAAATCTGTAGTCGTCACGTGCACAGGACGGACTTATTCAGCGAAATGTACTGTCGATTCTTCTAACCCAATGAAAATGTTTACAAGCTAACAACTATACGAACCACTTCTCATCACTTTCAAGAACAAATAACTTGTAAAAACCGGTACAAGAAACAAACACGGCTATATTTTACTGAGCTATTTATTCTTATTTATCATTCAATAAAGTTTTGACAGTAATTAACAATAATGACAATATTCACAGTCATAATTAAATTCCTTCTCTTTCTAGCTCAACTTTTAGTATCTACCATAATCAAGAAATCGGAAATGAATTTAATGCTTTTTGAAAGTCAACGTAAGTCAATTGTAATAACAATTATATAGTCGAATGAAAACCAATAATCCCCTAGCTTTGTTGCAAACCATCTTCAATCGAGCACCGACTATAACACCACTAATGATTCAAAAATGAGTGCACAAACCTATATTTATTAGACGCGTTCTAACCAATCACATACCTTTGAACTCCAAAATACGCACAACCTACGGAGCTGTGAAATCACTTTTTACTCGGTGTATGTATGACCAAAGTAACTGACGAGATTTCTCGATATGGATAAAACTACCGTACAGCATTTTTTTCTTTTAGAAATCTGGTCCCCAAACAAGCACTTGTGATCTATTTGACATGCGCGGTTGTAATTAAGTATTAATGCGTTCTCACGAGTGACAACAATACAGCTACAATCTAGTTCTCGAGGTCTCTCTAGTTAACATTGATTTGTGACAAAAATGTTAAGTCTATGAAGGATCATGGTGCAGAACGCCCTAATTAACAGATAACATGCACTAAGTTCAGGAAGCAATACAAGAAACCCCTTATCGCTAATATCAGTATATATTTCTTTACCTAATTCATGAAACACTCATAATTCATATGCAGATAGAAATAAGACATGAGTCGCTCCTAAACGGCACACACCTTTTATTACTTAATAGATTGCTTGGTTAATTTGAAATCCATGGAAATACTGATGGTTACGATAATTTGAATGACGGTAAAAATAACAACTAATGACATTTGTTTTCGTGATGAAATCCGAGGTTTACATAAAGCTAATAATTTAAGTACTTGCGCGTAAAAACATATCAAACTATTAATCTACTATGTTTACCACTTCATCGTCAACTTAGGAGAAATAAGATCTAATGAGAATTGAACCTGAAAACTAATGCCAGAAATCAAAGAGCAGAAATACACACAAAAGAAAAAACACCCAGTCTCAATAGGTGTGAAAGCTAGCGACACTATGATTGTTCAAACAAATAAAAAACACGCAACAAGGACACAGATCCACTGAACAATTACTGTGAATTTAGAATCATAAACAAATACAAGAAATCTAGCTCGAATATATCAAGACTCCTGGAGTTGAGTGCATTTTAGATAATAAAAGTAGTATGTAGCTCACTTCACGCCATTATGTCGTATGAATATTTCTTTGCTGATTAATTTCAGGTTAATTTATCGCGAATACAAGATGATTTCGCCAAACTGTCAGTATTATTTTTGCATACTTAAAAAAGCAACAGAACCAATACAAATGCACTTCATATTTCTTTTATTCAATTATTTCTATATAGTTCCTTTGATGTTATGAAAATACACATATGCAATAAAATATGCAGAAAGTTTAAAATAGAAAAAGTGGTTATTTTCTTGTAAATTTTATAACCTAGCATGTGAGTTACCATGAACCAATGTGAACTACGTGGACACATTTTGAAGAAATTTATGAACGAAATCAACCTACGGGTACATAAACAAAAGTTTAATGTCCAACAGCTCAATATACAATAAAGTAAATAGTTTTCTTTACAATAACGAAGCACTACACTAGACAACCGACGCAATATTAAATCACTAAAATGATTTATAAGAGCAGTCTTTAAGCACAACATAATACCGCTAAAAACTAGTTAGCTTAAATTAAGTGCCTGATCGGATGCTGAGAATGAAATTTGTCCATTTAATACAGTCTATCTAAGAGAACGACGTGAAACAACGATGACTCATCACACTAACTTTCACTATTATTTCATTGTATTGTCCAGTCAGAAACAGGAAAACTTATCAAACAGATATACAAATGAGAAAATAAACAATTTTCATAGAATCAATATGTTTGCACAGAAACTGTTAGAACAATGATAAACAAGCTTGATTTCTATAAACATAAATCAGTGATGCTATAAAGCCCTTTATGCCTTGAATTTGTACAGGGAGTTGTTTCGGTTTTATGGCTGAAAGTGAATAGTGACGGTTAATGAATCTAGACTCCAGGTGGTGGTGGAGGAGGGGGTGGGTTGGGTACAGAGGCTGCGTAACCTCCCGCATAACCTCCCCAGTAATCGGTAGGTGTGGGCAGGTAGTAAGGAGGAACCATTGCCGTACCTGAAAAGGAAAAGAAAATCTTTACAACAAACACCAATAGAATTCACACTAAACAAAGAGACTGAAAAGCCATATGTGAAAATATGTCAGCAATACCCTTACCAATATACAACAGGTTTAGCAGCCCGGCGTAAAAACAAGACCATTCTTTACACATATTATATCTGATTTTGAGAAACGTATCTATAATGTTACCAAAACGGTCGACATTATAACACCAATTCACGAAGTAGTTCCAAACAACTGAGTGGCATTCGCAAGCGTTTCATTTATGCAATACATAAGAATTTAGAGAAATAATCCTCATTAAGTTCTTACGTAGATTGGAGACTTGAAAGTTGATGAGTTTTGATCGATTTAAGTCAAGAACAATAGCTAAGAATTTCGAAAAAGTTTATAAACTACTATCATGTTGCCAACTACATCGAAATGGAAGTAATTAGTTGCGATGAGTCTGTACACTGCTGCATATAGATTCAAATTATTTGAGACTACTTACCGGGAACAGGTACACCAGCTGGTACTTGTGATGAGCTATCGCCCCAAGAAGCTGATCCAGGGATGGAGGGATGCCAATGGTTTAATGAGGAACCACCATTTGTTGCAACTGGCACTTCGGAATAGGCTCCTGCAACTGCGGGAACTCCGGAAGTAGGATAGGCGGCAGTTGACGGATATCCAGGCATAGGTGGTACGACTGCAGGAGTCCCCCATGGAGTAACAGGTGTCACCATAGGTGCATATTGAGAGGGAGGAGGGGGTGGTGGTGGCAAAGCAAATGCATACTGGTTGGGAGAAGAAACCGTGGTCGAAACTGTTGAAGTTGTTGTAGCAGTAGTACAATTTGTTCCAGCGTCTCCATCGTCGTCGTCATCAAAAGCTGCAACACCAGGAGGCGGGGGCTGACGAGTCAGGCGGGCAGGCTGTGGTTGTAAAGCATTAAAGCCTCTAAGACCTAATAATAAGACGGATGCAATAGGAGCACTGTGATATATTGATAAATCACGAAAATTAAATAACAGTAGTCAAATTGTTTCTCAGTGAATTTTTAGGTAACATAAGTACACATCCAAGAACCGAAGGAAAAGTACTAGAAGTCGCAATATATTTTAAATTCTGAATGAGACTTTCTGTAGGAAATAACTGGAAGAGTCGCATATTTCTGAATACTTCATCTAGTGATAAAATCTAGTGCTAAAGAATAAAAATAGCTATCAGTCAAATGAATGTGATCGCTCTAAAAACCATCTTTTATGGACAAAATTCTTTAGTCGGTCTGTTAGCCTGACTTTCAATAGCATTAAATCTCCAACAATCTGTTCAACCTCTTTCTTTCTAGTAGTTGAACTGCAATGATCTAGAAAAAAATAACATTCATCCTATACCTGTTGTGAATCGTTAATTGTTAATATATTCTGATCAGGGTACCGAAATTCACAGGATAGAAGCTAAATAATGCTTGACATGAACGCACGTTATTTCTACAATTCTTTATTACTCGAGTTAAAAGTCAATAATGTTATGATGTACTGTTGAAGCATCTACAATTCCGATAAACCATTTCAGCATATAGACGTTGGACTTGATTTACTTTGCTTGTAGATTTTTCACTTGAGCTGTTAAGAAATGGTATATAAGAGAGGATAAGTGTTATTTAGTTACATCCTGAGCGTGATCTAAGCGCAGATAAGATTTCGATACAAAATCTGACGAACAGATGGATAAATAAACTAAGATTTAGAAATGAGAACAAATTAACTAAATAGGACAATGGGACGTTATTTCTAAAACTAACTTTGATAGAATAATGTGCTTATTCGCCCAAAATACATCGACAGCTATCCACTTAAATTCTATATTCAGAGTTACATTTACTATTAATCCAATATCAGTCTCAGCATAATAAATCACCAAATTTTCTGAAACCTGTCAACCAAGAATAAATGAATGGTAACTGCTAGGAATTATTGATGGTCCATCATTACATATATTCTCGTTGGATAATTATTAAATAATTAGATTATATATATTCCTCTTGTCACTAGCTTTTATTTGACTTATTGGTTACTATTATATGACTTACCATTCTTAAATTATTCCCAATTTATTAGTTACAGTATCCCATAACTCACATCCATTTTTGGCTCGATCTTGTATAACTGTTATTTTTAATTTTATGGTGATGCGGTTTGATCTGCTTGTATACAAACCACGTATGCATGGAATAAACGATTCACACAGCGGAGACTAATGTTTATGTGCTGGACTGAACGGGTTAGGTTATGCGATGAGCTACTACACAGAGAACCAATAAGGGCTCAGGGTTGATTCAGGGTTGCTGGTGCTGTTTTGACATATCACTAGTTTAGCAGAGGCAGGGTCAGAGAAGTCGAGCTTCTGATTGGTGGTTTTGTCACGTGACAGTTGCCGGGCCATAGGGAATAGCAAAACCTTAAATGTCTATATAAATGTATAAATCCAACACAATTTTTCGGAGTTACTCGCCTGACTATTATCGAAAAAACCCATTAAAATGAAGTTTTTCTAATTATCGTAGTTACTAGTGACTAATACTAACATTTGTTTACCCCAAAAGATTATGGTTCAAGTTGTTAAGATGCCTTATAACAACATTTAGGAATGAAGTGAATCTCAATCAAATATGCTCCTTCGTTAAAGACTTTTTGCTAACTAGAACCTTAATGTTGTATTAAAGCTGACAGTTGGGAATATTCAGCTTTCTATTTTAATCGATCTCTACTTTTGAACTCGTGAATTAATTTCGAACTTCGATTTCTATTCAGATCTTTTCCCAATTTAATTAGTTGCATTTCACACCAAAACATTAGGTCGAACTCGTACTCGCCTGGTTCTACAAACCCATAAACAACTATTTTTATGTACCATTTAGAATTAAAACCATACCGAGAGGCAAACCTTGTGAACCACCTACACCGAGCTCCGCCATTAATGCAGTGTATTCGCTATCCATTTTGGCTCTTTCACCGGGGTTGGCATTGAGCTGATCAAGATATGCCTGACCACCCAACAGTGCTTTGCAGTCGGTTGACAGATGTCCAGCACCTAGAATGGAAAATAAACGTCAGCTAATTACCAAAACAAGGATTTTATTTAAAAAACGAGCACTGGTAGCTATTAGCAATCTGATGTTGGTAGGCAACATCCTAGATCCACACAGAAAGTGGAGTAGTCATTCTGTGTTGTCTTTATGATGTGCTTAAGACTTCAGAAACCAATAGTGAACGGATTTTTTAGGCAAACTGTGCTATAAATAGGTGACGACTGATAATTACCCTACACGGTCCGACATCTACTTAAGATAACAGGATTGATAGGTGATTCGAAAATATTCTCATGAAGTTTGACAAAACTAATTAAGAAACATGTAAACGAACGTTTTGAAAATAAATGAACTGCTATAACAAGTTTTTACTTGTGATCCACAGATGATATTTGACTAAACTCAGGGACATAAAGTAGATGGAAGTTTGCGCTTATGCATAAACACTATTACCTTAGCAATATGGTCGAACGTCTTATTAAAGCGACATAGTTACAAATTTAGAAACTGTAGTGAAAACAATCGCACAATTTGTGTTAATCAAGTAGATAACTTTCCACAAACTTTACAAGACTGCATTTTCCTTATACTAAATCACTAAAACAGCTCAAGCGAACTTACCTCCACATATACCACATTGGATTTTGTTGGTAGCAATTGACTGGGCTTCGGCCATTGCACGTAGTTTCATTAAACCTTCGTGCTCACGCAATGTCCCATTAAGTAAAGCAAGCTCGCGCAACTGGGCTCTTCGAAGATCGTTTTGGCTCTCTGGTATCTCAATCCCTTGTCTGATTATCTCATTAATTTTTTTGACTGCTTTGTCTACACATTCGGCTGAAGGTGCTGAGATGAAAGCGTGTAGAGGCTCGTCTTCACCAGGTAAAGGAAGTCCGTCTCTCCTTCCAACCTTGCCTTCTTTAACGGAGCCCTTTCCGCGAATTATTACTTTTGCGCCTGTCTGAAGTTAAGAAAAATAAGAAAACACTCAAGATAACTTTAGAGTGCTATAAAAGATGAAACCCATAGGATTATAAGCGATAAATAAAAATGAAATTTAGAGGGAATAAAATTAAATACGACAATGACGCCAAAAGAGATCAAATTGATTCCTTAACATATTTCTGATATTTTGCTTGTACATTATAGAAAAACTGCAAGGATTTATAGCTTCTAACTTCGTATAACACCTGAACACGAAAACATCTAACCTTTTTTATGTCACTGAGTACTTATTACTACACTTATTTCTTAACTCTCCAGTCATATATATGATTTATTCGGTCAGCTTTATTGTTTGAAAATTCTTTAATAGAAATTCGAGGGCATGAATTTGCTCATTACATTACTGTATAACACGAGTGCTATATCCCAAACTTGTGGTCAGTCATCTACAACGTAGAACCAGGCACATATATATATATCGCTTCGCGTTGCCATACCTCATTAGCACCAAATTCATAGTAGTTACTCCAATGGTAATAATATATTACAAAAAGACTGCATATAGGGATATGATACAGAGAGAAAGAATTTGTTCTTAGAAATAAAGGCTTATTTATTTATTTAAACACAAACATTGATACAAGGAGGCACCACATAAATCATTTGATTTGTATGAGGGCTGAGATACTGCTCGTGTGCCGAAGTAGGTGGTTTTCTTAGGGGACAACACTCAGAGCCTCTGACCTAAAGGTTTGATCCACAACGAAGTGGAGCAACGTAAGGAGATAGTAGCCGGTGATCAACGATTAGTTCATACGCTATTTGTTTCCTTAGGATCCTGGATACCATGTGCACCATTGGTTAGGAATCAGGGTTTTCCGACTCCGTGTCTACCAACCCGACTAAAGCGCCGGACATCTGCTTTTCATTCTCTCGATATCGCAAAAAAACACCCCAGTATAAAGTGGCATAAATTAGACGGTTTAAAGAAAGACAAAGAGTGTATGCACCTACGCCATCGTGATTAGTACTGAGCCATTTCATCCAAATAAGTAGTTTGCATCTACCAAAATGACTCAGACCAGGAGTTAGTGACTTTATGAACTGGTGCCATGTTTTGCTTTGGCCGCCCTAATTTTCACCTATCCGTCTCCAACACTAGACATCATTGCGCGCCGTGGAAATCGATGGTTGGGTATGCGTAATACGTGGCCCAACCATCTCAGTCGATGAAGACTCACAACCTAATCAAATGTTGTACTGTAAGGAGATTAGAATAGCACCAAACAAAACGACTGCACATTTTTAGGTCCAACAGCATACTGGACTTTTAAACAAACACTGGACAACTTTACTCGAATAATTGAAAGATTTGATAACGTGGATGGGGATGAGACAGATGAATATTGATCCCTAGTTTTTCACAATACAGAACAACAAACATTTTGAATGCAAGACATCTTGATAACTTGGTTACATTATTTAAGATCATTATCAAACTGACCCCGAACAAACTGGTGAGGTAACACTACGCCTCAAGAGCTCAAACAAAACCCATTACTTTGTAACACTTCGATCTAATCAACATTTTATCTCACTTAACAGAAGTGTGAAAATTTGAAGTAGGAAATCCCGCACAATAGCTTTCGATACTACTCTACAACTACACTGACTACATCCGGAAGCTCGTAATTCTCATGTGGTAAGGAGACCGCTATTTGTTTCCCCATGAAGTCCGACGAATTAACCGTGTAATATGATTATCTCTAAATCATTTGGTGCAAGCGCTTTTAACATAAAAATTTTGATGATACGCTTAAGTTTTAACATAAGCAGTGAGGAATTAACGACACCCACTGAGGATAAGCGATTAGGAAAACTCAGCTGCCAGCTCGCAGGCTGTCACCAGATGGGGACGAATTATGACAAATCACGCCACTTACTCCACTCGTTTAAACGCTATCCGAAAGCTGGCACTAACAAATATTGTTACGCTTAAAAAATGACTTACAGGAAACAAAACTTAACAACGCAAGCTACTTACATCTTTTTCCAGTGCCTTAAGCGTATTTCCACGCGGTCCAATCAAGAGCCCAACGAAGTTGATATCCGGGTGGTTATCTTGGGGGATAAATACTTTGTCCGTTATTCTATTCTGTGGAGCTCTACAAAGTTATGATTATCAAGGAACTAGTACTTGTAGTCAGAGGGTGGTTTATATTCAGGATTAATTTCCATAAGTTGTTGTACAAGTGCATGACGATCATCTTCTAGCTTTTTGCGGGTCCTATATTCCCTTGTGTTCAAGCGCTTACCGTCGCTGCTGTATATAGGTTCCGGTGAAGGGGATCTGAAAGAGAGAATATTTGTTAGCATACGGAATCCTGTTGGGGTCAACTGCCAAAATATTAGCTTCGTGAACCCTTACCCATTAGCTACTTTCTGATCCACAGTTAATAAGACCAGCTACATAATACATTAGTTCTAAATAAGTGTTAGTTAAACGTGAAGTCTATACCAACTAGTCCAGACTATTCTACACAGAAAACTTTCAAACAACTTTACAGCACAATAACCAGTTCAACAAATAAGTGAGATCTACACAACTGTAAAATATACAAATTAAAAATAGCTAACCTGTCTTCCGGATTTTTAGGGATGCCCAAATCTCCACTTTTCAAGCGTCTAGACATATCTTCAATTTGAAGCTGAACTATACAAACGAGATAAGCCAAAATGTTTCACATACTGATGTACACTCTTTCCTGCTGCGGTGTAAGATTTGGGGGCAGCTGAGTAGGCATACCAGGTATAAAAATCCGATCTGTTTCAACTGCAGACCATCTGCTCTTACGTTTTCGAGGAGCTGAATCTGAAACACATTAAGCCAGAAAAGATTACCTAATCCTACCTGGAGACTTTTCAGGCGATCTACTGCGTCTACGTGACCGCGAACTCGACCCATCAGTTATCGCAAGCATACGTTTACTCATGCTCTACAAAAATGGCTACCGTCAACCTTGATTCAGTCGCTATATTCGACATCTGCCTTGATATTTCAAACAACTAAAAAAACTTATTTTTCGAACGAATGAAAATCAAAGTAAATACACAAATAAAAAGCCGTAAGAATGACTTATGTTTTTGAGTATTTTGATAAAGCTTTAGTAAAACACGTATGTATTATGCAATATCTTCGTCTACAGTTTTTATAAACCGATTGATTTAGTTTCGCTCGATTCTTGTTGTTTCAGTATGGTTCCAGGTATTCGGCATTTTCGAACAGGTGGTTTTCTAGCCACTTGAGTGCACTAATCCTAGTCAGCTTGGTAGTTATTTATGCATTTGTACATCATGTAGTTTTGTGGTGTGCTACTGATATTTATAGATATGAGTGAAATACCTAATAGCAGAAAGTTAAAAGGATCGAAGAAAAGAGAACGAGAACAGAGAACGATTGCTGTGGAAATGAAGGAACAGTTAAATCTGAGACGATTGATTGATATTTTGCAAATGAAGTGTTTACTGTATAGATCTCAGATTGTACTAGGATGTTCTGTAATTTTATATTCAAATACACTTGGTTTTCCCCATTTGTGTTCCCGTTCACTACAGTTTGAGCAATTGCGTTTGCTTCAGGGTTGTAAGAATTCTGGATACCATCAGCTATCACATTAGCATGCAAGAGGTTGGTTGGCCTCAACTCAAAAATATCAAAGTGGTAATTCGAGTGTTGAGAGATGATTGTTTCACGAAGAAATAAATAAGTTGATTAATTAGTCATATGTAAGTACAGTAAGAGAAATGAAGATGATAATAAGACAGATAAGAAGTTGTTATTGATATGCAGTGATGATAACGTGGTAATCTATAAAACACACAGGGGTGGACCTTAGATTGTTCCTTAGGAAACTCCCGATGTTGAGATCTGGGGATAGAGTGTTGAAATATTCAGCTAGCAGTATTTGGTCGAATCTCAGGTATGGTATCACCCGCAATATATCATTCTTTTGGGATTTAGAACCTAAGAGAAGAGGCCGTTATATCCTGTCAAACAAATGCTTTGTGCCGTTCACACTGAAGGAACACGAGGATGATTCTGTCACCTCAGTTCATTCAGTACCGCTTACTATAGCGGCATCCAGGTAGCTGTCAATGTATATCGCGGATCCACCTGTTTTGCGTAATGTTGCATCTGAAAATCGTCATGACATGCAAGCTCGCTTCTTCATCCATGATGTCATGCGATAGCTGTGTTTCAGTCAGGACTATGATTTTCGGATCTAAGTGAAAGTCTATTTTTATGATTACTGGTAGCTTACATGTTAGTACTCCCACGCTGCCATAGAGGGACCTGACGATTTGCATCACCACCTGGTGTTCTTCTAAGGCAGCATCTGTTTCCCGGTCTTTAGGGAGATTGTCGTCTAAACTGTGTTGGCCAGTTCTGTGCAAACTGCCCTCTCAAGGCTTTAGCCTGAATGGTGCGTCCCCAAAAACAGAACCGCAGTCTCTGTGCTTTGTACTTTTGCTTGCTGATCAAAGCCAACCGACACCAAACTGTAATTTATTGGATTTTTAGCTGTTACCTTATTGATCTGAGTTGACTTTCACAATGTCAGATGTGGTTGGATAGGTTGTCTTTTGAGTTTTTCCGAGCCTCAGGAGCTTCACTTGCATTTCGGTCTTTGAATTTCAAAGCAATCAGACACGGGGACTTGACAGTCGTAAGGTGCAATGGATGTCTTACCCTGGAGTCACTGACTGTTGTAGTGGTGTCAGGGCCTACGCTACAAGATAGCCAAAGAGGCCGTTGCATATCACGTTCATGGGCTTCATTCCATCGAATCAGACGCTTCATTGGCCATCATGCAGGTTTGTTCTTGAACGTTTACTGATCTCCTAGCAGCATCTCCTAAGGCCCACGGTTTGTCGATTCTAACTCGGATTTGGATGGTTCGCTTAACCGATGGTCTCTGGAATGTCATGAAAATTTCATCTGTAATGCGAGCTGAATCTAAAGTTACCCTTAATGAAAACGGCTACCTCGTTCTATGTTATAGCTCTTATACAGATTGCATATCTTGGATGAAGTGATACCTTTACTCGGCATTGTACAGGATTGTCCCACTTCTCTTCGTCGAAGGCTGTTCTACTTTCTAATAGGCTACTCTTCGATATTAGGACACTGGATAAAACCAAAGGGTCCTGTCCAACTTCCTTGTCTCCCAAGTTCAGCGTTTCATGAGGTATTGCTTTGTTATTTCCCTTCCCAACACTCACCTACTACGCCTTATTGTTAACAGGTATGAGATATTAGTAGTGGTCGGTATTTCTATTAGCGCACGAGCTCGGGTTGTGGCTCCTAGAGTCACACGTTTGGCCTATCCTGTGTTGGGCGAATTCTGCATACTGGTGGGGGTAGCTACGGTTACATTCTATGGGATCCAATAATTGTCTTTAGTTAGTTCTGTGAGTATGTAGTGGCAGTGGACCATAACCACACAATCCTCAAAGCTGAACACAAGACTACTCGGAAAATAGATATTCAATATTTAACACGGAGAAATACCTAACGATGGAAAAGGCGGGAACAATTAGTTAAATTAGTTGGATTTGATCAGATGGCATGGCTCGGCCATGCAGGAGTGGTCCTTGCTGAATGTTACCTTATATCTTTTATTCGTATTAAATATATTGTTTTTTCTCTAGCCTAAGCTTGTTTTTCATCATGTATTGGTAATTGTTACGAAACAGTGAGTTGGTGTAGACGATGATGTGACTTCCACGTAAGATCTCAAAGATTGGGCAGTTATATCATGACAAATCTACAATTCTAGGATTAAGTCTATTAGAGCAATACTAATATCATAGTAGGCCATAATTCTACAAGTACATTCTCCCTACATTGTGTGTAAACGTACCAGAACCGTGGAGACGGATGACTTAACACGAACTCTTAGTACTACACAAAAGCAAGAGCATCACAACAATAGTGAGTCCAGCCACTACAGACGATCGTGCGATGCGTCTATCGTTTTTGTGTTGTTCTTACCAGTAGTTTGCACCACGAGCAGTTTGATGTGTCCTTTTCTCCAACTTCGTTATTACACACGCGTCTTAGAAGGAGTAGGGAACTGGGTAGTAATTTGATCCTGAAAACTCAGTTGAAGATTTGGTTTTAGTGTTTAAGCTGAATGGTCCATGTTGTACACATTACTATGAGGTTCCTCATATGATATCGTCTTCAGCTTTCTTGTAGTTTTATTTCTAAACACGGGTATTTTCGACCTATTACTAACCTCTGAATTCGGACTTCTACCTCTATTAGTCACCTTTAGTGTTCTAGTCATATGCGAGTGCTTCAATACAGGTAGGACTTGCCTTTAGGTCGACTTAAAAATCACCTTTAAAACTAACATTTGTGACGTACATAGTATTACTTAAACAATCTAGCAACAATCGCAACTGTAATTACTCTCAGAAAGAAAACTTCTCACACCCTTTAGTACCGACCCATCACATAACAACGGCTCCCATGTATAACAACAGTCGCAACTCCTCCCAGTTACGCGTAGCAGACCCCTCTCACGCTAACCTAAATAGCCATAACAGGGGCTACGAGTCTAACCATCAAGACTATTTTGTAAATAACCATACACTTCACAGTAGGCCTGTACAAGATTTTTTTGGAATAAGACCCCTAGTGACACCTCTGTTGAAGCATATAGCCCAGGTTATTTCAAACCACATGCAAACCATAAATTTGTTTCCTCCGTACAGTTTCCATCAGAGAGTACTCCCACCCTTTCCTCCTGGGTAAACTCCCCAATCAACTTCACTAGCTCATTTGATACATCTCCCAATAAGTCTAGCTATCAAAATACCGAGCTAATGAAGAACATCCAATCCCTCACATCAAACTCATCTCACACTCGCGAGGGTTACGACGACTTTATCCGAGATACCCTCACCCATTTTAACTTAGTAGGCCACTTGCTTAATATATGTCTTATCAACGCTCGATCGATCTGCAACAAAAAGACGGATTTAGCCCTGTTTGTATCCATATATCAACCATCAGTTATTATGATATCTGAAGCATGGACTAACAGTAATATTTCCGACCGAAGTATATCTCTTGATAACTATTCCCTATATAGAAGCGATAGATTGAATGGACGAGGCGGAGGATGCCTTATTTACGCTCACTCTAGCCTAAACTCACTGCTATGTGATATGCCTGAACTAAACAAACTGAAGGATTCGGTGTGGATTGTATTACCTTACTGCTCGGCTGTGTTTATCGTCAACCTAACGCATCAATAGATGAAATAGCAGTATTATCGGAGGTATTCACACTAGCATCATCCCTCTCATTCACAGGCAAGCTCATTTGTGGTGACTTCAATATGCCCGAAATTTCTTGGCTGCCAGTCAAAGCGCCGAGACGTTATGAATCATTTATTGAATGTCTAGAGCTTGGACAATGGACTCAGTATGTCGATAGCCCTACCAGACATCAAAACATCTTAGACTTAGTCTTTACCAGTGGCCTCATCCCCAATACTTTGTATATTGGAAAAAAGTTCCCAGGTAGTGATCATAACATTGTCATATGCAGCCTTAATGTAAAAACCACAACCGATAGAAGTAAAACCGTAACACTTCGTAGAAACTATCGCAAGGTTGATTGGAATAACTTCCACAATTACCTAAGAAGCACTGATTGGAGAACTTTCTTTACCTCAAACAATACCGACACATTAACCAATATATTTTATCACAACATCAAAAGTATCATCAACAACATCGCACCTTTAGAATACTGTAAACCTACGTTCTCCAAAGATCTCTATATACCGGTCAGTACAAGAAGACGTCTTCAAAGACATTGTACTCGATTCCACAACTTAAATGACTTTTCCTCTTTAGTAACGATGACAGAAATACTTGTCCGAACAGAGGCAATAAGTAAACAAAAAGCAGTAGC